GCTCAGCCAGTGAGCGGCCGGTCTGTATGTGGGATCCGAACCCTCGGCGGGAGCGCCGCCGCGCCTCCCAAGCGGCGCACTTATCCAGTGCGCCACTGGGCCGGCCCTGGGACAAAAATTTTTAAGTCTGTTTTGAAAGAGCTGTAATACAGATGTTACACATACACATGCCGAAGATGTATGTAAATTATTGGAGCTTCAAGGAAACATTAGTTTTCTTGTTGTATTTATATGCTTCTTTTTATTGTTATTTAGAGTAATGTCTGTCCAGGGCCGGCCCGGTGGCGCACTGCTACAGTGCGCCGCTTGGGAGTGCGGCGGCGCTCCCGCCGAGGGTTCGGATCCCACATACAGACCGGCCGCTCACTGGCTGAGCGAGGTGCAGGTGCAACACCGAGGGTTGCGATCCCGTTGCTGGTCCCGGTACGGTACGGGCACGACACTGAGGGTTGCGATCTGTTGCCGGTCATGAAAAAAAAGACAAAAAAAGGAAAAAAAAAAAAAGAGTAACGTCTGTCCAAATCGATGCATCAATTACTACTGAACATGAGCTACTTATAAGTTTAAAAGTGTGTATATAATATAGTTAGCATGCACTGAAAGGGGAAAAGCATAGAAACCATACAATATCAACTTTCTGATTTTAAAATAAAAATTCACCGTGCCTCATTTTTCTCCAGTGTTAAGATTGCCTAGTCTTTCAACTGGCACTTTTTACTCTTGGGAGGAAGGGTAGGGATTATCAATCATAGGTTGGGCTACTGTAAAAGAAGCCAAGATCACAAAGCTAGGACAAAGCTTGTATTTTCAATTTTAGTAAAATTATTTGTTTCATATTAGCATTATGATATTTTTGTATTTAATATTTTTGTATTAAATATTAAACGTTAATATTTTAATATTTGTTTCATATTAACATTATGAAAGCAATACTTTTGGTATGTCTTGCACTTTCAGAAAGTTCCCTTAATGGTTAATATCATTGAATTCTTAATGGTTTTTTTTATTGTTTGTTTGTCTTTTGTCTTTTTCCGTGTCCGGCAACGGATCGCAACCCTCAGTG